TTATCAGTCTGTTTAATTCGGCAGTCATTGCAATCTCAAAGTACATGTAGCTTGGGTTGTAGACACTACCAATGCAGTTACTTGATAACAAATAGAGAGCTGTAATTTATTTTTATGTGAGTTTGAATGTGGGTATGTGGGCCTCACGTGACAATTCATGCTGTAAATGAGAAGCACTGGTTGAAGTTTCATCCGAAAATGACAGATATTAAATAACTAGTCTAACTTGCAGGGTTCTTTTTTAATAGCAACTTGAATTAAATACGAGCCCATGGCTATGATTATCCAGTATATATATATAAATGTTAGCTCACCTGAAACGGCTGAAGGCTGTCAAGAAAAAAATAAGTTAATATTTAAGTGTATAGTAGCGTTTAGGGGAAATTCAATTAAGAAGTCAAGTTTAACCTTAGTTCATTGCTGGAATATTTAAATTTGTTTTGATACTGTAAAAAGGTTGATTATTCACTAGGTTTTAATTTTGCTTATTTCGCTGACTGGAAAATGCGCTCAATTAAAACCCAGTGAATATGTGAAATTTAGCATAGAACATTATCTACATGTTAAAACAGTGAATTTAAAACCCATTGAATATGCCTGAAATGGTAAATCAGCGAAATTTAAACCAAGTGAAAATTAGTCATTTTACTGTATATCATGGTTGGTTGTGATCTAATCTGTATGACTTTATATTTTGTTTGTTTCTTTGCATGCATGGGTGAATCACTATATCCCCATTAAATGAAAGTTATCGAAATCAATTTTTGACCACTTACTCAACATCAAGGGGATATATTATTATGATTTTAGTAGTCCATTCTTCATTATATGATTCAGTAAAGTGTAAGAAATATTTTAGACATCTGTAACGATTCTAAAGTTGTGACAACTTTGTTGAAAATATGTTTGCTTGCTTATAGGATAAGCAAATGCAATAACTTTAAAATAATTCATATAATGAACGCTATGCGGACACACATTCAGAGTAACACATTCACTTGAATTTGAGTCGTGTTCAAAAGATTGATTTAGTTCACTTGTATTTGCATGATAAAAATAAAATATACAATCCACAAATTTGGTTAAATATTCAAATGAATAAATGAACTTAAGCTTGCCTTCTCAAATGGAAAAGTTCACGAAACTCTACTACAATCTTAAGTATTATTGCATTTCATGTTCTAAACTCACAACTTGACGCCACGAATCAAAAAGTTTTTCGGCCAATTACAGTAACGTAAGCCATAAATTAACATATGGCTGTAATATTACATGTCGATCTGCACTTGTTTGTATTCGTGGGTCACTTATCAAAAGGAGAAATGAACACACAACCATTCACTAGTAATCAGCTAAATAAGTCGGACAACAGATACGCAAAAACTAATTCATGACACATGAAACAAATTACACAAATAATACAATACACGGTACGAGATTTAATGATATGTGGACCTTGAAACCTTGACTTTGATTGTCGTGTATCAAAAAAGAGTGCTAGTGCTTACCGTACGGCGAACAATTCTGCCAAGTGCCCCAGTCACAGCAAAGCAACAAATAACGAACACGCTCACTGGTAAATCGTTTCTCATTTTGTTACTTGTCTGGTAATCCTTTCAACAAAAGTACATATAACAATAATAATTATTGGAATTTATGATTGGCTAATGTAGGTATGACGTAGGTAGACTGTTTTCCGTATGGAGAATTTGATAACTGATGCATATGTAAAGTTATGTACTGGGTTGAGGTAATCGAATAGATGTTAATTTCCATCCCACATATACAAACACTTTCAAGTTCAAGTGGATTGATTAATACACTTTACTATACATTAACAAAGATTCAAATTAGATATACATATTTTAAAGTTGGGCATTAAAATTGAAACTATATATTCATTACAATGTGTCTCGAATTTCAGGACGGTTAATCGAAACTTTTTACCAAGGTTTTCCAATCCAACTCAAAGCATCTAAACGTTTTCGAAGTTCGTCTTCGAAAAATGCCTAATATCGCTTTGTGTCGCCCTCAGCGTTGGCAAACGTATCTACTCCCAATGATTGAACGATTCAGTAATACCTCTCAGAGTGTGGCGTCATCATTTCATAGTTATCTGTGGCTGTTACAATATGCATCCGCACTCCTTTCAATAATCAAACTTACCGTGTGCTGCTATGAACAATTATTCCGAAGAGGGGATTGTATCGATCAGAAAAAAGCACATTAAAATGTCATAGTGGTGCGCACGGTAAAGCGACACATATGGCGTATAACTGACATACACTTGACTAAAAACATGGAATTTAATGAGAAACTAATGGGCTTGCTTCAATAATTGCGTTTTGATACATACAAAAATAAATGATTTATCGTCAGTCTTTGAAATAATGAAAACGATGCTACCCGTACTACGCCCCTGATTTACATGTACGTACAGGTAATTTGAAGCGCATGCGCATTAGTGTTTTCATTAATTCGTCGAAAGAATACTGCTATGCTCACAATCTTGTCTTTGTTATGAGCAGGAAATAAAATCAGAAACCATGCCATTGATATTGTGAAAATCTAATTAATGATAATTTATTAAACACACTTAATACAAACTCAGACCACACACACAATGTAGTTTTATCACTTTATTCAACTGATTCGTCAAACGATAACAATTAGTAATATCGTAGACACGTGCGGAATAATTCCACATGTGTTATGACGTCACTGGAATAGTTCAGGTAATGCTGCAGTATATGCTCCCTTGTCACTGAACAGATGACGTCATCGATATAGCCTACGAAGAGTACAGAGAGCAGCCATCTGGTCCTCCCAAATCTGTTACAAAAGAAAGGCAGAGTTAACCATAGAGCATGTAAATTATAACCATGATAGGAGTAACACGTGCAATTGTAGCACAGTGCATTAAGAGATGTACTAGAAACATGCAAATTATAAATTCATATGTTTAAGGAAGCGAACAACCCTTAGCAGTTCACGCCTAGACCACTAGCATTTCATACATTTAAGGATGTTAAGAAATGTAAGCACTTTAGTCAAAATGCTTAAATTAAGTAAAATAAATAAATAAATAAATAAATAAATAAATAAATAAATAAATAAATAAATAAATAAATAAATAAATAAATAAATAAATAAATAAATAAATAAATAAAT